TAGTAAAACTATTTTGGGGGAGAAGACCACTTATTAGTAAAATGCATTATTCAGCTTTGCAGGATTTCCTTCAAACCGTAGTGTAGAATAATCACTGCCCATTTCTTCGTTTTACTTGAAATGAATTTCAGTAAGTGGTGGTCACTGCTTTAAATAATCAGTTCCTATTAGCTGTATGAAATACTTCCGTTTCATGTGTGAAAAGGCCATGGGTCCTCCAGTGCAAATAAGATTTTGATGGAAATATACATTACAAAGCAATGTAAGCATTCTGGGTCTAGCAGGTGAGGAGTTTTCCATAAACTGTCCACAGTGGGGAAAATACAACATTCTGCTTGTGGATTCAAGGCCAGAAGCAGTTCATGGAACAGAGAACATGCTCTCATTGTGCTTTGCTTACAATTTCTACTTTAAATTAACGGCTTAAATCAGGTGAATATTTTCCTTCATCCTTTCTTGAAGGTGTGCTTGTCTCCAGACAGTATCTGTGGTTTTGCTTATCATGTTTTCTCCTCTCACAGCGGCCCTTTCTAGCAGCAATCTAGCAGTTATACACTGAAGCATGTCTTATAAAAAGAAAAACGAATCTTTCACAGATGTGGTGGTACCTTTATAGTCATTTAACGTACTGAACCTCCTATGTGGGCATGAAACTAAATCCTGATTGATTTAGGGTGTTAATATTGCCCACTTCGCCCACCATATAGATGACTGTGTTCAGTGTGGTGCAGAAAAACTAATTCATAGTCAGGATTTCTGTATTCAGCTACTGGGGCTAACTGCATTCCCCTCAGCCTAAATGGAAGATGGCATATACTCCCTACAGAACGTAGTACTTTTTCTTTCTTTCGGTAATAAACCAGCCTGGGTAATCTTGACGTCGCACTTACACAGTAAAGTATTTGTTTTACTTCTGTCACCTTGAAACTCTCTTTGGATTTAGGCATGTTAGATCTAAAAACACAATCCAATTTGATCAGCTTAAGTTGATGACATTTACGTAGAGCAATGACAGGATTCCTTGTAGATCATTCACTAGGACCACAGACTTTATGTGACTCAGCCTTGTGCTGTGAGGCAAAACTTTATTCTGTTGGCTGGCTTGCTTGGCATAGGATTATACAAAGGGCTAGTAATACAAAAGGTCTCAGATCTCTAAAACGGGACTGAGGAGGAGTTTTAAGTATTTGGATTTGAAATTGTGATTCCCCCAGACCTGCTTACCAGATTCCAAATTCCTGTAGAAACCTCTTCCTCTTTTTCCCCCTCCTGTTTTTCTTGCTTTCCCCAAGTTTAAGTGCAGTTTTGCCTCTTCTGTGGCGCAGTCCTTGAGAACCCTGATCCAGGCGGTTTGCTCAGACTATGTTGAGCAGAGTCAGTATTGCCTAGAAGAGTCTTTTTTCAGGTGGACTTCATTGCCATCACTTTGCAAAGAGAAGGGACAGCAAGAGAGCTAGGGTAGAGGGGCCAATATGGAGGCAGAGCATGTTAGTTTGTATTTGTACTACAAAACTTATGTAAGTCCAGCTGAAATGTAACTTTTCTTTTAATCACTGGAATCAGCAAGTAGGAGCTAAGAGGGAGAATAGCTCAAATGAGTGTGAACATTTGCTAACAAGTCAAATAAGCAATAAAGGAATTTCCCAGACTCTTGTTTACCTGTGCTTAATAAAGTG